AAAGAAGCCAAATTGAACAAAACTGTTTATTTCTAAATCACACCAATATACTTATATTCAGTGTAACACAAGGCTGATTCAATTAATTTTCATGAACGCCCCAGAAACTCAACCCACCAAGCCTTTATTACATATCTTATCTAGAATTAAAGGTTACAACCTAGCAATGTCACAACCACTTGGGTTATAATGAACACAAAAAGCTGTAATTCAGTCCAAGATTCACCATGTTGTAGCATACACAAATAAATGTATAATACATACAGACTGATTGACCCGTTATTTACCTTTCTTCTCTTCAGCAAAAGCTAAACCCTTATCCCCCACGTTCTCAAACTTGCCACCAGATTTATGTTCTTCACTCTTCTCAACAATTGGAGACCCTTTCTCCATGCTCCCAATAACCACAAGCATTTAAAATCTCTCAATTTCCACAAGCATTTTAGCTTAAGTGCACCCTCCTTATCCACTAGTCTCCAACCCACAACCTATAGAAATGAAGAGAAAATAAGTTTAAGGTGGAAAAAGTAAAATGGACCACAAGGTAAGTTATTTCAATATTTTTTAGAATTATAAATTCACCACCAAGTAATTATGTTAAGTTTTTTTTAATTTTATAATTAAATAAATATAATAAAAGGGCATGCAATTTAATTAGTATTTACCACTCAAAATGCTAATGGTACTAAACGTCCAAGTAAATGCTTCTTCAATATTATTGATAAATTTTTCAGAACAGAGCACAAAATAATGGTTGCCTTGTTGATTTATCACAAAGTTTATTATATTCATCAGATTTAGAGCAACATTGCATTCAAACATTGTATTCACCATATTTTTATCACAAGCTCCACAACTTAAGAACCCTTATTTCCTCATAAAACCTTTGACATGAAATATTTATAATGCATATATACTCTAAAAAATGGCAAAAGAAGATGTGCATCTTCATGGTATCAAAATCTTTTGACCAAGAGTGGTTGTGTTTTATCATCATCACCTGATTTACACATTATCCCAAAATACATGACATTATACCAGAGTACCACATCCTGAGTGCAAAAAGAGACAATCCATACCACACCATTAACAACAGGTTTAGGTTGAGGCATAACCGATGACTCTCCGAAACCTAACTATTTTCATGGCCTGCGCAGGTGCAGTTGGTCATGGATTCTGGAAGGAAGTGGATACAGTGACGGCGGAGGCGGCGGGGGGTGGCTCTACCTTAGAGCTCCGGTGTGGCGGCAGCGGGGGTTAGCGTCGCTGCTTGAGATGTTGCCCATGGAAGGAGAAGCCCTAATTGTGAGATGAAAGGGTATGCTTTACCAAGGTGTTCGTGGGGCACATATTAGAGTCTCAATTTCTACATCGGTCAATAATAAAACCGATGTAGAATTGCACATATTTACATCGTTTCTCCTCCCAACCGATGTAAATATATTTGCATTTTCTATTTATTTACAAGTTTGCCACCGCATTTATGATTTACATCGGTTCTAATATAACCGATGTAAATATAGCGATGTTAAACAGTGTTTTTCTAGTAGTGTAAGCAAGTGCCAAGTGTCCTCTTGTCTCTAGGTGGTTGGAGAAGTAATTCCAAGGTAGAAGGAAGCCAAAATGGGCGATCAAGGTGACCTTTGGCTTGTCTTGGTCGAACCAAAAACCAAGGAACTGGTTTTCTTTGGTTAACCAAATGAAGGTTAAACTAAGCCAAATCAATTCCTTGGGCCAAGAGAAGAAAAACAAGCCCCATATCACTTTTGACTAATTTCACACCTTTACTACTTCCACAATATCTAGAATGGCTATTGCCACATCACTAAAATTATGATTATTTCCACTCCAACTACTAAAACTCATGAAAACTAAAAATGGTGACCATGAATAATAGATCAAACGGAATATATTTCAATAAGGAACATGCATCTAAGTCCTAAAGGCATGACCTATAACAAGAAAAATATACACTCCTAAATATAAGGGTACAAATAACCAATAGAATTAACTACTACATACAAATGAATGGAAAATAAATTATACAAAGTATATACAATTAAAGACTAGGCAACTAGGAAGGAAATACATACTCTATGCTCATGATAAGCATAGGTTTAAGAAGCACATCCTCTCTAGTAATTTCTTCTACCCTCCTAACCATAGACCTTGTCAAAGGTCCTATGGCCTTCAAGGGTGATCCTCTATCAAAAACAGAGAAGGATTAGGTCAGAGGGCAAGCTGAACTTTTTGGAAGCTATGTCGGAGATTGCTACACACACACAATTTATAATTATGTATTATTTTAATCAATCATTAATTATATTTAATTTTTGAATAAAATCTTAGTAATAATATATGTTTAACTCTTATTCTAAGCCAACAAAAATTTCCTTAATTATTTTTATTGGAACGATTTTTATTTTGGAGAAAAATTACTCTAAATATTAACAATTTTATATAATATAATAAGGTAAGAAAATTTTCTTAATTATTTTTTATTGGAATGAATTTATTTTTTTTTTGGAGAAAAGTTACTCTAAATATTAACAATTTCATATAATATGATAAGGTAAGATAAATAAATAAATAATATAAACCTTTTGAAAACAAATTTTTAAAATAAATTTAATTTAAGAATAATATTTTATTCGTATGATGTAAGTGTATGAAAGCGTGTGTGCAAGCACCCCGAGCATACGAATGAGTGAAGTGTACAACTTCAACAAGTGTTTCGAGAAAAAATCGCCTATGAATTCCTTCTATAGTAAATAAATAAATAAATAAATAAATAAATAAATAAATATATATATATATATAGTTAATCA